ATGTATGGATCACTTAGGTTGTTACCGACATCTGGTGAAAATTTCATGTCATTAGCACCTCTAGTAATATATTTACTGAGAAACATGGTGACGTGTTCAATACTTATTTTACCCACTGTATCTTTAACTCCTTGTGAATGTCAGACTTGTATCAGTAGACATTTTATGGCAATAAGTCCAAAGAAGTTGGGACATTGGGCCTAACATGAATTAAAACAGAATACAATGCTTTGCAAATACTTTTCAACCTGTATTCAGTTGAATACAAAGACAAGATGTGTAATGTTTAAAACAGATAAACTTTATCTTTTTTTTTTTCAGATATTCACTCATTTTGAATTAGATGCCTGCAACACATTCCAAAAAGCTGGGACAGTAACCCTGTGTTCCATCAGCTTTCCTTTTAACAACACTGTGTTGTTAAAAAGAAAGCTCACAACAGTTAAGCGTTTGAGAACTGAGGACACTATTTGTTGAAGCTTTAGCTGGAATTCTTTCTCATTCTTTCGTGATGAACGACTTCAGCAGCTCAACAGTCCAGGGTTGTACTTTGCTCTTCATAATTCTCCAGACATTTTCAATGAGAGACAGGTCTGGACTCTATAGCAGCATCTGATACATATCTGGTGGAAACGCTTGCTTGTTGTGATGTTTGGTGAACTGTAATGTCAAGGGGGCTGAAGCTGAACGAGCTCTCTACCAATCAGATCACTTCTGTCCCCCCTTGACACTGGACACATGGAACAGCGCCATCCCTCTCCTCCTCAGTTCACACTCACCTGAAGACACGTTCACCTGCATTTCTGAAGCTGACTTCTGGATTTTAGATCGTTTTCGTTCCCGTTCAGGTGACGTACTGCCGTGATTTGGTTCTGTTCTTATGAGATGCTAGTAATTTGTTAGTGTACAGGATTCTTTGTGACGTTATCTCTAATTTTTGATCAGAATATCAATTACACGTATCATAAATGTTCACTGGGGGGAGGTTCCTGCTGTGTCTTTGGTGGGTTTTTCTGTTTGTCTTGATTGAGCAGATTTGCTGGTAAACACAGCACACAGAGGATTTCAAAACAACAGCTTCTCCTGTATTTTCTCTGCTGTTCTTTTTTTTCTTTTAACCTCCAGAGGCCTGATCTCCAGGCAATGGCAGGATCGACTCACAGATGCCATGGTAACTTTCCACAAAGACGAGCTGCCCAGGTTCCACAGGGACTCGGGTGCAGAGTGCAGCTGGCTCAGGAGGAGGCCGTGTCACCAGAGACGGGTCAGAGTCTGGCAGCCGCAGCAGAGGAGGCGGCCCCCGCTGCAGGACACGTAACACTTTTTTAAACACAGATTTAAAAAAGAGGTTTTATTTGCAACGACTGCAGTGGTGACATTAATGCTGAGGTTTTATTTTAAACAAAAATAGATCTCTGGGTCTGGATTCTGTGAGCTGGGGAAAGAGCCAAGCCGGTCTTGCAACAGAAAATCTGGATCAACCTCTTCATCATCTGGGAAAGTGGACAGTCTCCCTGAAGAAAGTGTCAAATCTTTACTGAGCAGAATGAGGTAAAACACAGAAAGTAAAGTGTTAACATTTTGTAAATGTGCTAATGAGAAAAAACAACACAGATGTTTACATACAGGAGCGTGGAGCAGGAAGAGGAAACTTTAAACATACATATTTAAAAAGTTGTTAAACATCTGAGTGGCGCACTACCGCTACTAGTGGTGAGAAAGTGTATTGCACCTTATTCAAAATCAATACAATCCCACAGCCCTCTGAGGCCCAAAGGTAAAAGCTGTTGTTCTTTTGAGGCCCTCAAAGTGGCGCTCGCCATCAAACTTTATTTATAAATCACTTTAACATCAGCCACAGCTGAAACAAAATGCTGACCATTTGAAATAAGATAAAAAAATAGTGTCATACAATAATAAATTAAAACCTCAATCCAAAACACAATAAAACCATAGATTTAAACAAAAATCAGCATCAATACAATAAAAGGTTAGATAAGGAGAAATTGTGGCAGCAGCATCTAGCTGTGGCACTTTCAGCGCAGCTCAGAGGCATTTCCCACAGATTTATCACATTATTTCTGCTGAAATAACAGCAATAATGTGAAACTGATGTAAAGCTTTTAAAGAAGAAAACCTCTGAAGTTTTGAAGACTGGAGATGTTTTGTGACAGGAAAAGCTGCGAGCTAATAATGATTTGTCTGAGACGACTCACTCACACGTAAAAATACTCCACTCTTAAAAATTTAATAGCTATTCATGCAAACGCTATTGGTTATTGAAGGCTTGGCATTCCTTGAAGAAATGCAGACATGCTCCCTTTCATATACAGGTTTTAAAGATAATTTCATTAAAGTAAATTATAGCTATTTGGTAAATTACATTTTGTGCACTCGTCATTCAATTTTATGAGACCTCGAGAGATCTGCTCTAACCAAAGTATTTTAAAATACAAACAAATTTGAGCTCAATATCTGCTAATTTAATTGAGGTGTAGGATTTTGTTTTGGTTGCTTTGCTGTGATGGCCATCTGTAGATGATGAGTTTTATATCTAATGATTACTTTCTCAAAGTTTTATAAATTCGCCAAGTGGTTCATAAAATATTTTGCTAACAGACAAACAAGGTTGACTCTAAAACTTAAAAGTTTTAAGCAAAAAAATAATTGCATACAGTGGTACAGGGCTCAGCCTGTGTTGGAACTAGACAGCTACCAAACGTTTTAGCTCAGAAAACTGGCTTTGTTGCTTTGCTGTGGCAGCCATCTTGGACTGAGATGACTGAAAGTCATGCAGTGATTCTTCTACTGAAGTTTCACTAAAATCTATTGACTGTTCATGAGATATTTTGCTACCACTACAATACAGACACAGATACAAAATATTTTTTGTGTTCCACAATTTTTTTTACAGAAATATTTCAACATTCTTGTTGGAACTGACCCCGAGCTACACAGGAAATGCTACAGCTAGCAGCTGCTGTCTGTGCTAGCAAATAATCATAGAAATCTACTTCACACAAAAACGAAGGAAATGAGTGTTTGGTGGATTATTTCTTTCTTCTTGGTAATAAAACTTATACTATTGGAAAGCCCGTTAATGGTGCCACATTTGTAAGGAACATGCATTTGTGGGATGAGCAGTAGAGCTGAGTGTGTGGGTTGTGCACATGACAAAAATTGCCAAATCTTCTCTGTCAAACAGCTTATTTTGCTGTTGTCACTTGTTTTTCTGGTACCCCCAGGTGTTGCCAATCAGGTGCCTGTTTAAAAAAACAAACTTTTTTTTATTATAACAAACAGGATGTTGATGAAACAGAGTTTGTGCTGCATTTATAGCTATAGCCAGTAGGTGGCAGCAGAGAGCCAGTGTACTTATTACGCCGGTTGCTATGATGGAAATAAAAACGTTTGCCTTTAAAAACATCCACTGTAATATAAACAAACCTAAACCAAACCACATCTGTGGCTTTATTGGTTTAATGTTTGGCCTGTACTTAAATGGTCAAACTAAATCATAACAACATCAACTGTAGACGTTTGTAGTTGTTGGCTTTGCTTCGAATCGCCTCCAAACACGAAATCCATCATCAGAGCTCAGTTAAGTTGTCAAACTGTTTCTGTCTTCACAAACGCTGCTAATCAGATAACTTCAGCCGTTTCCCTCTGATCAGAAATGATCTCACTGATGTTTCTGACATGACTCACCGTGGACCTGCCGGGCTGAAACCATGTGGAATTGAATTGTTTTCACAGTGTTCACCCAGAGGCCCGGAGGATTCTGGGTGATTCTTTCGTTGCTGTGGTCAGTCTGGAGCGTCTGAACTTCCAGGCTGTGTCCTTATCTTGTTTACAGCCTGTAGTGTCTCTGGTGCGACTGCCCTGCCAAAAACAACAGGACGTGTCTTTGAACTGTCCTCAACAGGTACACAAACACACACAAGACTTTTCCTGAGACAAAAACATTTTGTTACACTTTTTATCTACGACTTCATCTCTGTTGGCAGATTGGATTCAGTCCGATTGAGGACGATATGTTGGAGATAAAAGAAGAAGGAACACCCACGTTCTGGACCAAGCCGTTCTGTCCTGAAGGCTCTTTGTTTGACGAACCAGAACAAGACTCAGGCTTTGACTGTGACTCTAACCCCGATCAGCCATACATCCTGTTTGACTCTGGATCAGACGACGAGAAAGGTGATCCGGAAACCTTTTACCTGGATCCAGACCCAGAGCAGGCTGTGGTGATGGAGCTGGATCTGGACACCGAAGTAGGTCAGGACCGTCGTCTGAAGCTGGAGGATGAGTCCGACCCTCAGTGTGAGGCGGCGGCGGCGGCTATTTTGGAGCGGGGCGAAGAGCGGACGTCGGATCTTTGCTGCTCAGTCAAACGGGAACCTGAAGATGTGAAATCTGAAGAGATGGAGAGTGAAGATTTTTGTGCCGTTTGTCTGAACGGAGGAGATCTGCTCTGCTGCGACCGCTGCCCAAAAGTCTTCCACCTGTCCTGTCATATACCTCGTCTCATCTGCTTCCCTTTGTAAGTACTGTCTGAACACAACACAGTGCAGCTTATGGTTCTTTGAAAAATACATTGAATTTGGGTGTTTTTATTTCTTTTCCATGATTTGCTTATAAACCAGAGGTGACTGGATGTGTACCATATGTAGATCAGACCAGGAACCTGCTCAAGCCTACGACTGTGAGAACATGCACCCCTGTGGGACGGTCAAAGTACCATACACTCTGTCCGACCTGGACCAGAGGGTGAGACTGTTTGAAAATCAGCAGTTTAAAGTACAACATTTACAACACTTTTATTGTTACAGTCTTGATCTCCTCTTTCTCTGGAGTCTAGTTGGTAGTGAATAAAGTCTGTGTCTGACTGAGCTGCAACTGTTGGCATTTAGTCGGAGATAAAATTGCAATAAATTTTTCACTTGAATGGGTTCACGACTTTAAAAGCTAAATTTTGATACATAAATCATTGTGAGTTCTTCCAGAGATTTGGCATGATTTGTCTCGTTAATCTCTGGAAAATGGGTCTGAATCCTGTTTTTATGTGTATTTAATAAGGATTTCTTGAAGTTTTTTGAAAAAAGAAACCTCAAACCACATTTGGATAATCTGATTTCTCAGCTGGTATTGAAAGCAGCTTTAGGGAAAGGAGTGAAAATCCAGGGCTCTTCTGCTCAAAATCATTGGTACTGCACAGATAAAAGCCTCAAAAACAATATTTAGAATGGCATTTCCTTAAAGGGACCCATAGATAAGGTATTTATTCATCGTATTTCGACAAAATGCAATTATTGCAACTTTTATTAATTTGTTTTGGTGTCCAACAGTCTGGTTTCATTATAGTTTGACAAACCTTCCCAAAGTTGTCCTGCATTTCATGCACTTTCTGAATCACAAAAATAGACAGAGGAGGGTTCCATAGACATATTTAAGAAAACAAGTGCTTCACAAGTTTTTCCTAAATTCCAGCGTTCTGAGAACAAGGTCCAGCGACTTGCAAAAAACAAAACAAAACAAAACAAAACAAAAAAAACTGAGAACAATTTTAACTGTTTTGAGACATTTTAGGAAACCCCTTTCACTATTTGTTGCCAAGAGTTGCAGCCCAGAGAGATAATGACTTACCAAAAATGTTTTTAAGGAATGAAATGAAAACTATTTTTTAATCTTATTGACTTCTCTGTGCACATCTTGACTTTTGTCTCTGCAGAGGTGTGAGAAGTTGACTCTGCTGTTGTACTGTCACACACTCAGCGCTCCGTTTCATGAACCTGTCAGCCCTCTGGTCAGTCCAACAGATTTACTTACGCTAATTTGCAGCTCTGTATTTTTAGGAAAACTTTTTGAAAAAGCACATTTTTGGAATAATAGTATGATTACAAAATACCACTCTGGGCAAATTTATTAAATTAAGAGTGAGTTAAAACTCTGGTTATGACTCTTTGATTTAAAAACCTACACAGGTTGGTTTGTGGATAAATTGTCCCTCCTCACATTCATAAGCTAACATGGTGTTAAAATCCCTCCGTTTGTTCCATTTGTGAATGTTCTCCAGGCCCGAAACTACTATCAGATCATCAAGAGGCCCATTGACTTGTCAGTTATTCAACGGAAACTGAACAAGAGCAACACTCTTCATTACTTCACAGCAGAGCAGTTTGTGGACGACATCTTGCTGATGTTCAGAAACTGTGCTACGTTTAACTATGTAAGTGTCTCAGAATAATGTTGAAATTAGCTAGTTCAAGTTTTATTTTATTTTTAATAGTTTTTTCATTTCTTTTAAATAACAAAAAAATTCTACAATAAAAAATACAAATCACAATTTCTAATATTTAACTGTACTGTGTAGCTCAAAGTTAGATTTCTGTGTTCATTTCTCCCGACGTCCTTCTGAGCCGACTTGACACACATCAGGAATATCTCCTAAAATTATATTTAGAGTGGTCATGATCAATGAAGTGTCCTTAAAATTGTCAGAAGAGCAAAATCAGTCCAAAAACTGACAGTTGTTTTTTCATGTGAACCCAGCATAAGCTGACTAAACACACAGGTTTGCCTTGAAATTCTACCTCCCATTTCACCTGAAACATGCAATGTTATCTCCCCAGTTGTCTTTCCGCCATAGTTAAGCATCTCTTCCTAGAGAAGATGTGTGTGTGTGTGTGTGTGTGTGTGGGGGGGGGGGTTGTTTCTGGTGACATTTGTGGGCAATTTTAAGACAAAACACCTACCTTTGGGGACAACCGGTACATCTGGGGACAAAAGTCGAGTCCCCATTTGGTTTAAATGCCATTGGTGGGTTGTGGGTTGGGTTTAGGACCAAGGTGTGAATTGAGTTTAGGTTAGTTTTAGGGTCAGGAAGGTACCTGTGAGGTTAGCCTTAGGGTTTGTGGTCAGGGTTAGGCTGTAGAAATGTAATGAAAGTCAATGGAATATCCCCAAATGGATAGCTGTGCAAACTTGTGTGTGTGTGTGTGTGTGTGTGTGTGTGTGTGTGTGTGTGAGAGAGAGAGAGAGAGAGAGAGTGTGTGTGTGTGAGAGAGAGAGAGAGAGAGAGAGAGTGTGTGGACGAGTTTTTCCTACAACATGGGGAAATTTTTCCCAAAAAAAGCAGCCTCGTGGGGACTGAAGTGAATTGTGGGGACCAATGCCCGGTCCCCATGGGTTCAAATGCAAGTTATGGG